TTCGATCAGTTTTCATCTCGAATATCAATAATAAGCTGGTAAATAAATACTTATAAAATAATTTACAGATTTATCGCGGCACATTTAAAGGGCGCTTACGGCACACCGGTTGGGAACCATTGATCTATATGAATAATTAACAGATTAATATATATGTATTGGGCCTCGTGTAGTTCTGTGCTGTGCTTCAAAAACCATCCAGGGCCGGCACTGCATAACTGATTTTGGGCGCGCACACCTTGCAAAATTTATAAAATTCGCAAAGTAGGCGCTAGAGTAGCTATCGTTTTCATACACCTACCGTGAAGTCGGTACGCGGATGAAACGCGAAAACTTTTTACGCCGCATCGACAGTCATTAGAGGTAATCTCCGTTGCGTTAAGCTCGTTGCAGTGGTCTTCGCATTAGCAGTGTTCCTTTAAGTCTGCGTAAGCCCTGCTGTCTGCCGGTCCCGAGTTTTCTGCTCGAAAGGTGTATCGGAACGGGGGCAACGGGTGGGCACTAATGAACCACGTGGAGCGATGCGGTATTGATCATCAACGATGCTTGTACAATATCCGAGCGTTGAAAATTTTTCGAATAGATAAACGTAACGGACGAAAATACGCTATCCGCTAACGGACTTCAATAATTCAACTCGAAAAACATTTGGAAATTTGGAAACCACGGTAAGAACGGAGTTTGAAAAAGCCTACCATACGAAAATCTAACTTTCCAAATCACACGTATTGTCGAGCATTAGAAATAGTACTGTACACGTTTCTTTTTCTTTTCTTATATGTATACTTTAATAATAACTGTACAAGTACAGTGACGTCAATGGAATATTCAAAAGAGTTTTCAGTGAAAATATTTACTCTATTAAAAATTATATTCAAAATGAACGCTCGTTATACACGACGTTATATTACATTTAAATTAATTGACGACCAACATCGTCTGAAAATACGAAGCGGTATTTTTAACAATGTATGAAAATAAAACGAATTCATTAATCATAATATTGTTTTGTCTTGAAAATATCATTATATTATGAAACAACGTTAATACTTTAGCCGACAGTAACGCCCGACAATATTAGTAACGCGTTTTGAACAACGCAGTTGCACGACTAAACCATACAGCAATTATAACCACCTGCTAAATCGTTGGGTTGGTTTCCGAAACCAATTATTTCTCTAAGAACTCGATTTTATGCGCATCGCATAATATGGCATTAAAAAATTGTAAACCTAGATACACCGTTAAAATTTACGATTAATACGGGACGCAACATTAACTATTAATAAACATTATGATTGTATTCAGGAGATAGAAATTTAAAACTTATAGGAATGACGTTACTTGTTGAGCGATATATGAGCTTTTTTATTTAAATTGTCATATACATAACCATAACTCGCTTGAAAACTAAAATATCATACAAAACCTATGTCATCGCACAATTAATGTTCTTCCCTTGAAAATTTGAGAGTAGATAAGTTTAATATTAAATCTAACATTACTGTATTTGATCTACTAAACGCAAAATCATGTTGTACCTGGTCAGATGGATACTACAGGTATGAATGAGAAAATGGAACTTCACCCTTATTAACTATAAAATAATATATAAATATTCATGGCTAAGAAAAAAATTACTAACAAGAACATCGATTAGACAAAAAATAGGATTGATGTCCTAAACAATTTCATTGCGTCTCATTGGTGTTTGGTATTTATACAAGATAATAATTCACTTGCGTTTATTTGTCATTTTCGATGTCAATTCGTTTGTGTAGCAAAATTAAGTAATTATATTATACATACGATTTACATACTGATTGACAATCAGTTAAATTTTTTAATTTTATTTAAATATTCGAACCAGCATAATGATTTTTTAAATAACAAATACTGCAAAACAACTCGTAAGGTACATTCATTAGTACCTACTATAAATTATATATATATATATAAAATATATTCTCTCTACATACTAATTATAAAATCACGTTAAAAGTTGGTTGGAAATTTAAAATTTTGTTGGAGTCTACAATCTAATACTCTAATGTTTCAATGTTCAACAGAAATAATTAAAAAAAGAATAACTTTTGATGGCATTAACGTGATCACTTATTACTACTATAAGTATAGATATAATTTTAACAAGAAGATGAAAAAAGTACGATTTTGTAACCAAATTATAATTTTGGACACTGTAGTGGGCCGGCCTGCAAGAGGACGACACAATACACCGTTGACGAATAAATACTTGAACAGTTCACGTCTGTGATGTAGAGTTGTTGGAAGGTGTTTAAATAACAAAACACGATAGTTTAAAGTTATACAAATATGTATAATAATGAATAAAATAAATTATATATAATATGTGGTTAATACAAATAAAATAGTAATTTATAATTGAAAGTGTGAGGACAGAGTATTTAAGCTCTGCCCGAGAATAATAAAGATTGACTCTCAGAGCTGGCGGCGATGTGAGGCACGCGGGCTTCACGACCAGATGAGCGTCGGTGCAGTAAGCGGAGTAATTAGTTAACACTAGTTTAAATCATTCTACTATTCTAAATGTATGGGTAAATGGATACCGTATTTATAGGCAGCCATTTAGGATAAGAGTAAGGTCGATGGGGATTCTGACGGATGTGAACAAGGAAGCTTTTCTCTGTGATATTGAAATTAGGCTCTGTTTCGTGGGGACTGCATATCAATACGAGTAATTATTGATATTGGTTTACGTTTCGGTTTTGCCACATTAGTATCAATACATGATATAATGTTAGTGGATGTTTGCTACCCGATGGTTTACTACAAAGTGTATATTTAAAAATTTAAATATCTAAAATACAGCGGGTGCACTTGCGACGACGAGTCGCGAAAACCAAACAAAGCCCTCGAACTGCCAATACAAAGCGCCGTCATGATATTTTATGATGTCGGCCGACGTGAAACCGAACACTGTTGTCTTGCATTATAATAATACTGTGTACACAGCGCGTCCCATGATTATACAGATTATTCGTTTACTTTAATATTCTTGCCGAATTATCCGACAGATGGTCGGTTATGTATTATAACGACGTGCATACAAAACCGAAACGTCGAGTATAAATTAATTTCGCAGTGAAATTATTTCCCTCTGTTACATCCAAGCGGAGCAGAGCGGAAATCGATTACTTTTGCATTAATAAAACCGGTTCGACGACCGTCTGACAATTAATATTTCCCTGGGATACCGTTGGTAACGTGGCCGCGGTCTTCAACAGGCCTTCGAAATAAAATGTAGTCAAAGAATATCATTCCACCGGCGGTCATTGACTTTAGTTGTTTCGTTAAAATCGTGAAATATTAAAAAATAAAAGTTCTTCTCGACGGGTCTCACATTGTCTCCGGCGTACAATATTTACATTTATTCAATAATGATGATATCGAGTGAACTATATATTTATATACATTTTTTGCACCCGAGTTTTGGTATCGAGTCGTACTTGGACACTTTTAATAATTTATCCCAACGTCGATCCGAAACCAATCAAACTGACTGATATTTTTCCGTACCGGATTTTATTTGAAATAATGTACTGCGGTGTATCGGTTTGGTTTATTATTTTGATAAAGTCGAACTCGTACGATTTTAAGCGAACAACTTCAGTTCAGCATGTTTTCTATTACTATTTGAACTATATTGCATTTGAGTTTGGTTCATTTTTATTTTTACAACCATGGTTTGATTAATAAACCCATACCGCATTTCGATTGGATTTTGTAAATTCTTCGAAAGGTTTGACTCATCTCATATTATATGTAAATCATTTTCCCATAAAAATATCCTGTTTTATCAGATGCATTTTTTGTGTCAAAAATATAATCATATTGTATCCGCATAAAAATAACTGGCGGCTTAATGCAATATTTGAACCACGTATAAGTGGTCTGCATTCCCTGTGGGCACTCTGGTCTACTCTGATCATGGCCGACGTTCATGTGAAACTCGATCACCGGCTGTTTCGACTTCAGTGTTTAGTACCCAACCGAGTCGGTCGTTTTAATAGCGTACATACAAACATTATTTTCGTCAGTCATATTCACTTAACTATCTAATAATATGACATCGTATAGGAAATTCATATTTTAACGTATTATTTGTTATACCAAACAACGTTCAGTTTCAGCTGAAATCAAAACAAACTTTCCTTTTCTACATTCCATTATTTTTTAGATTAAACTCAATAGGATATTATTTTAATTATTGGTGGCACTTTCAAATTTTAGCAAGAAGATGAAAAAAGTACGATTTTGTAACCAAATTATAATTTTGGATACTTTTAAGTAAAGTGAAAAGCATTATACACTAAGTAACAGCTTAATAGTTATTTCATGTGTTGAGATTATAGACATAGATGAATACATTTTATCTCAATCTTAAGTACAAAATTCTGTGATTCATTATTTTTAATCTAGGAATGAACATAGTGCTTTTTTTCAAGTCTAACTAGTTAGTCTCTACATGTTTTAATAGAGACCATTTATTCGCTCAACCGCTTATCGCTCGTTGAAGATTATACATCTTTTATGAAACTTATGTACTCAAAATGAATGGCTACTTAAACCATTTCCTTAGTCGAGAAACACCAAAAAGTGAAAAGTAATTGATTTTTATCAATTACTATTCACTTTATGCGTTACGTTATTAATATAATATCATAATCACTTGACATGCATTCGGATTTTCAACAAAATGTAAGTATAAAAATATCGTGGTTTCAATAGTGAATTTACTCAATAATTAGCAACCGATTATTGTTGTTGTTATTGTTTATATTTTATAAACTATATATCTGCACATTATAACATTCGTATTTTATATCAATTTGGATTGTTTTGTTACGATTTTTCAAACAACAGATCATTGTGATTTAAGATTTATCTTATTGAGTTAGCTCTTTTATTATAACTATCGGTTGTTCGTATTATACTACAAATATTATCAATTGTTCATCATGGAATCCTCAAAAAAATTGGAAAAATTCATGAAAAATTGTTTAAAACTGTTGCGTCGCGCCAAAGATCCAAGTTGCATTATAACAATTTTAAAACATATACAAGAAGTCATAGAAAAAGAGTTCAGTGGAAAACGAAAGCCAAAAAAGGCTGCCAAAAAATCAGTTCTACCTGCCATTCTTATATCAAAAGAATTGGGTAATGATCAAACAGAAGTATGTCATTACTTATGATGAAAATTTAGTACAAAATATTTACAGTTTAATTTGTTTTAATTTAAAATTCTATAGATGATTATTAATCATGAGTCTAGCAGTCTTAGTTCTGTATCAAATTTATTACTAAGTAAATCAAAAGCCACCGTAGATGAATGTTCATCCTCCTCATATAGCTATTCATTGGAAACAGAATCAGAACCAGATTTGTTCATCAATACCGATTCAAATTCTGAAATAAAAACTGAAAACATGGAGTTATATTCCTGTTGTGTTTGCAAGTATGTAAATAACACAAATTGTTAGGCTTCGAATAAGAATTAAATATTTTTTTCTAATTTCTTATAGAGAATGTTTTGTAAGTATTGGGAACAATGTGGTAGAGTGTTTGGATTGTCATTCTATGCATCATCAAAATTGCCACACTCCACCAATACCAGACATTTACTTGAGTTACTGTAGTAATTGCAGACAGATAATCTTGCAGAAAGTATGATAATAAGTTTCATTAATTTGAGATGCTACTTTTTAGTTGTCATACATAGTTTTGCTTTTTGTAGGAAAGTTCACCAGGAAAGGAAAGTAAGAAAAGATCTTATGAAAGCACTTTTGGAACGGAACCAGAAAAATCTAGTAAAAAATAATCTAGTAAAATCATCTAGTATTGAAACTTCTCATAGTATGTTTTTTAATTTGATATGTTTTAATTACAAAATGTCATTACCTGCATAATTTTTTTTTATTAGGTGTTAAAAGAAATCATAGCAAATTAAAATATCTTCTACCAATAGCAGTTCTAAACATTAACTACCTATTCCTGTGTTGTATATTGTGAAAAAAAAAGTTCAAATGATGGAAAAGAAAACTGCTAAAAAAAAAAATAATAGAAATAATGATTTTTGTACTTAGAAAAATTAAGAAAACTGTCCTAAACATTTTTGAAAACATTAAAATAATAAAAGTTAATTATTTTTTGATAAAATACGTTGTTTTTCAGCAAACTCCACAATATTTTCTACTACTGATAAACCTTTGCGTTAGAATCTGGTTTCTGTCTAAATAGTTCTAATTCTTCTTCAGTATTTGGTACCCAGAATGGGTCAATATTAATTACCTATAAAGAAAAAATAATTTAAATTAAATTTTATGATAACATTAACTTACACAATGACTAATATACTCTGTGAATTAATAATTCCAGTGAAATTTAGAAAAAAATTTGATAATAAAGTTTCGATCACAGAAAAATTATTATTGTTGTTTTCAGAACCATTTATTATGAAACCAGTTAATTTTATTAATGTTTTTCTTCAATTTTGCATAGTAATAAGTGTATACTTGTTCATTTAATTGACTTTAAATATTTATATTCAGTTGTCCGTTTGTAATATAAGATCGCGTTTCATTTTATTTTAATTTTTATTTTTTATGAGTCATTAGCAGTACTATTGGAATTTTTTTATTCTGAATATATCAATAAGTGATAAGATTCTACTACAGAACGAAAAAGTGCAAAAAACTGTTTGAATACAAAGTTATATGCTATTTAGATGTACTAGTAATGTTAATTATTAACTTAATTAAATATTAATTTCATAAATAGTCATAAAAGTTTCAATATAATGTTCTTCATGTACACTTGTTACTAATTAATGAAAATAATTGAGCCTAATAAAAAATAAATAGAAACAATTATGTGGTTTTTTTTTTTTTCATTGAAACTTCTAGTTAAAATTATTAAATTCGAAAATAACAATTTATTAAACTAAAATACTATCTATAACCATATCACAATATTAAAAATGTATAAGTAATAAGAGTTTAAATAACCGAGCCAGCCTCATGAATGAAAGAAAGTAGGGGCGGTTCTAGGACTAGATTTTCGTACGGACAAATAATATATTTTATGTTTTAAGTTACGTCCCGTTTCACGTAGGCGCGTATCATACGCGTGTAAGTAACATAAATTGTTGTTTATTTTGTTTTCATAGGTAAATTTGTAAATTCTAATTTTGTAAATAATGTAAATAATAAGTAATAAATATCTTTTGTTTTCACAGAGAAACCAAATGTTGCTATTATCCGTTAAAAAATTTATAACATCCTTATGTACATTTATAAGTAAGCTGTAAGCTAAATTTAAATCCTAAATTTTCCTAAGCTACAGTTTTTTCTTTAACAGTCAACACATATAAAAAATAAAAATATTAATTCAAATTAGGTATATATATATATATATATATATTCTTTTTTCTTTAGTTATATAAAAAATAATTTAACATATTATAATGATAAAGTATTATATAAACTATATTTTTACTATATCTGAAATTGTAATCTTCTATGTTTTATTTTTGCAAACATATCAAGAGCAGGAATTGGGTCTTTTAACAATTTTTCCGAATTCTCTTTATCTATAGATAATAAAGCAAGGTTACTCAACCTAGGATATTGCATTGTAGCTCTCAAGCAAGTCTTAATACGCCGCATAGTAGAAAAACTTCGTTCAGCACTAGCTGAGGATACAGGAATTACCATAGATAATTCAACTACTTTTCTCAAGTTAGTGAAAGCTTCGCCATAATTACTTATTTGTTGATGTACATCAGACAATTTTGAAGCTTCCAAAAACAAAGATTTCACAATTAAACACTGATTTTTTAATACTTCTATAAAGTCAATATTATTATATGGTTGATAAATATTTGTTATGTTACTTAACAAATCAGTATTTAAGAATTCGTTTGACTTAGGATCACATGCATGTATATTTCGTAGTATTTTATTATTTTCTGTAAATCTAAATATCATTTCATTGTTCATGCAGTCTAAAATGTTGAAAAAAATAACTCTTAATTCTTGTTCTCTTTCTTTATAATCTAAGTTTTGATTTTCTCTTTTGCTGTTTCCAACTGTTGAATAAGTTATGTAGTCGTTAAGTAATGATGAACATTTTTGGTTTCTTATAAGATGTTCATCAGCAGTCTGAAATAATCTAGTGGAAGTTGCTAATGTAATAGCTTCATTGTAAATGTCAGTAAACATTTATTTTGTCCTTAAATTGTTTAATTGTTCTACGGTGGACTTGATTAATTTTTCACAACGACTATAATCTAAAGATGCTGATTGTAAGCTTAGTGATAGAGTATTTACTATTGACAGAACATAATCTAAACAAAAAATTAATACAATAGTTTTAAAAGATTTTAACTGCACCACTAGACCTTTTGCTTCAGCAGCTTCTTTAGATTTCACACTTTTTGATAATTCTTTTAATGCCAATAAAACAGTCCTAAAGTTTTTTTTAAAGTAGCGAATACTTTTAAATTTTGTCACCCAGCGTGTATCAGAGTGCATAGGTATTTTTTCTCCAGTTTTAATAAAAAAATATTTGATGCCTTATAGTTGATTATGATTGAAATGCGTATATTGCCTCTAAAATACCTATTACTTCATGCAAATCTTCCACTTTTCTTGAAACACCGACTAAAACTAAGTTTAACTTATGTGTATGGCAGTGTACATATGGACACAGATTTCCTGACATATCTCTAATTTTTTTTTTATACTCCATTGAACTGTCCTGACATGACTAATGCTCCATCATATGATTGACTTACACAGTTACTTATATCTAATCTAAAGTTATTTAAAAATAACTTAATTTCAGAGCTCAATGTATTAGCACTTAATTCTTTAAGCTCAACAAATCCTAAAAACTTTTCTTTTATTACAGAATTATGTACATACCGTATACAAATACTCATTTGTTCTAGTTTTGATTGAGGTAACAATTTCAGTTCATGCGGGGCATCGAGTGCAATTTCGGATGTCAATTTAACGTTTAAACGATGTACCCGCATTTCATTATGCTATATAGGGACAACAACCGCATGAAGACAGATAACCACGTCGAGATCAGCAACAACACATTTCGTAGCATGTATTCAGATAGATATGCTTCCATAAATCTTGTCTGCCACTAAATTTCACTCCTGGCACCAACTTTTTAGTGTTAATATTCGACCGCCCGGAGTTAGTGGATATGAATAGCGACTAGTGTCATACGTGGACTGCATTTAGCATTACTGTCACTCGTCGCCACCGCCACTACGGATAGCCACCGTCGCGTCGCTCCGTGTCGCTGCCGCCACGACCATCGTTCATATCGTATTAACACACGATTACGTGTGAGTACCCCCATATTTATATCTGTGTTCATGTCTTCTTATGTTATATACATAGATCATACGATATATATGTATATTTGCTTGTAATATTATTTTGTAAAACAATATCTATGTATTATTTACTTGTGAACAAAATAAAAAGTTAAAAATATAAACCTTTAATCTACAAAGAGTTGAATCCATTACACATTGTACACACCCGTGTAAAAAAAAATTATGTTTGGAAAATATTTACCCCGCGCGACTGAACGTTTATTTTAAATGACCGTTATTCTTTGCACAAAAATTAACTTAATTTAGATATTTTTAAATAAAATTAACTTAAATTAACACGTTAATCTTAAAAAAAAGTAACGTATTAAATTAAAAGTTAATTTGTAAAAAAAGTAACGAGTTAATTAACTTAATTAAAATTAACTTAACGTTTTAACTTAATTTTAACTTTTAACTCGTTAATGCCCAGCCTTGCCTAACTTTTTTCACTCAGAATAATTTTTTTGTAAGCAATTTTACATTAGTTTTATGTTAAAAACCAATACAGAAATCACTCATTCACCCATATTTGTACCTTATCCTACCTTTTTTTTAAGTTATAGATCTTATATTACTAGGTAAAAAATGTATAGAATGTAATCTTTTTACAGTAATATATAAAATAAAAAAGTTTCAGATTATCCATTGAAAATATATTACATTTTTCCTTTCCATCTTACGAATGATACTTTTTGTATACTTTGTATGATGATTATTTACCTTTAAAAGTTTCTTAACTTATTGGATTTTGTCTAAACCAACTTTTCATTTTTAATGAAATGAAAGTCCTGTTTAAATTGAACACTATTATAAAATTAATAAAAAAAAAAAAAAAAGTGTTTAGTTGTTACTTTTTCTACGATGATTTCTGATTGATGAATATTTGATATAAAATTTTGCAACTCCAAATAACATGCTTATTGTCTTGTATATAATTCATCGTTATTTTTGGTTAAAAAAATGAACAAATATTGTATTTTATATGGTCAAAAGTAAACATTTTAGCAAAATACATTATTATCATCGGGTACATATGAATTTAAAATATAATAAATTTGATTACTTCACTCCATCACGATAGGTGTACTATTAAATTGTATATCGTCATCATTAAATCTATTAAAAAGCCCACAGAATTTGCATTTAAATAAATGAATACATTTTTATATCAAATTCATAGGGCTGGGTTGGTTATCTATGTTTTTGATGTGTAACGATGACATATATGTGTAACGGATTTTATTAAATTTGATACTGAATTATTTTGACAATAATTATATTTAAGTAGCAATAATCGTGTGTTGTACTTATATTTTGGATATTTTTATGTGTTGTAAATTTTATAACGTTCACGTTTTGCTTGAAGTAAACCTAGGTCTGTATTCAGAAAAAAAAAATATAATAAATGAATTATTTTATATCATATTTTTAAATAAATAATTTATAAATTTATAAACTGTATTTCTATATTGTTAAAAATAAATTCACTGCGTCTGTAATGAAATCTGCAAGAAGTCAAATAAATCAGAAGTGTGTCTAACATTTCAATCTCTGCTGTTGACGGATAAACTATTGAATTTCATGAACAGTGTTAGTCTTATTTGTAGGTCAACCATTAAAACACTTTCTTGTGGTATTGGCGTTTACCAAATTATACCTTTATAACGTTTATGAATTATTTTTAATTTTAATTCTATCAAAAATGTCTTTGCAGGAGAAAACTATAAAAACGTAACAAAAAAACTGGTCAAATAAGCAAAAATAATCAGAAAAACTGGAAATAAGCATTTTTTAAAAAAATTCTGAAAAAAGCAAAAAAAGGCATTTTCAAATTTTATAATTGTACGTGTTATAACTTGAAATATACTTCGATAAAACTCTGTTACATTTTAAGTCAATCCATAAAAATAAGCAAATGCTTTAACTCCCGAATCCTGCTTATTAAGGTGATATTGCTTTGATATAAATTAAAGATGTTCCTGTTAGAAAATTAATCATAAACCGGGTACCGAGTATTAGCCGAGTAAAAAATTCAATATTATACTGAATACCGAGTAAGTATTGAGTCTTAATTACGAGTAGGTATTATTTTTTTTTCTCAGTGTCAGACATCATATATTTTCGAATAAATATGAAACTTTTAGAAACAAAATAATATAATGTATTGTGTGGTGACTTAAACAACGCACCGCGAATCGTCCAAGTTGTTTACAATATTGTCAGTGGATAAGGGGAAATCCCATGTTCTAGAATATGCGATGATTATCTCGTTAAGGTAATTTCGAGAATGTTCTAGACAATCGACACCGATATATATATATATACCGGCTGGTCAGACGCTCATTCAATCAGTCCGTGAGTACAATCCGCGATATATTCGGCAATTCCTCCGCAATTGTAACGCGTATCGATATTTGTACATACATATTTATATAATATAGTGTCTATTTAATTAAATTAAATTGTGAGTGATTTTTATTACTGAAATCCCACAAATTGGTGATCTCGTCGTGATGGCGCCACGACGAAGCTTGTTAAACAGCGATTCGTGTGGCCAGCAATTGACGCAGATTGCAGACATTGGGCGAGGGCATGTGTACAAAGTCAACGAGCCAAAATCACGTGCCATGTCACAGCACCTCTTGGTTCATTTTCTTTACTGTCTCAAAGATTTGAACATATTCATTTAGATCTAATCATTATGCCTTATTCTGAAGGATTTCGCTATTGCCTCACGTGTATCGATAGATTTACTCGATGGCCTGAGGTAATTCCATTGGAAGATCAAGAAGCGGCAACCGTAGCACGAGCTTTCTATACGTATTGGATCGCAAGATTTGGTACCCCTCTTCGTATCACAACAGACCAGGGAAGACAATTTGAGTCATGCCTTTTCAAGCAACTTAATAACTTGACTGGCACGAACCATCTTAGAACCACGGCCTATCATCCGTCAGCAAATGGCATGGTGGAACGAAGCCATCGGCAGCTTAAAGCCGCCATTAAATGTCATCAAAATAATCGATGGACAGAAACTTTTCCGACAGTCTTTTTGGGCATCCTAGCAGCTTGGCGCGACGATCTTAAATCCACCTCTGCAGAATTAGTCTATGGAGAGCCACTTGGACTCCCTGGTGAATTCCTAACGTCGAAAGATAATGCTGCCAAGTTCGACGACGCAGCTGAGTTTAACAAAGATCTTCGACATCACATTCAGCAGATCCGACCTGTCAATGGTACACGACATGGCGAGAGGAAAAACTTTGTTTTCAAGGACCTTGCAACCACAGAGTACGTATTCATTCGACATGATGGACCCAAAAATGGAATACAAATGCCCTATGATGGTCCCTATAGAGTCATAAGTCGAAATAAAAAAACTATTGTCATTGATATAAAGAAGAAAAAAGTTAGAGTAACTATTGATAGACTTAAACCGGCCTACATCATAGTAGACGACCATTCTAAGGAAGATAGTTCGAGAGAAATTCAGACATCTACACCGAATACTATTACAAAAGAGGATCAAAGGACATGTTCCGGAAGAAGAGTTCGTTTTCCAGACCGTCTCCAAGTAGGTTATGCTTGACTTCGTTACTGGTAGGGGAGTGATGTCGTGACGTAAACAACGCACCGCGAATCGTCCAATTTGTTTACAATATTGTCAGTGGATAAGGGGAAATCCTATGTTCTAGAATATGTGATGATTATCTCGTTAAGGTAATTTCGTGAATGTTCTAGACAATCGACGCCAATATATGATATATATACCGGCTGGCCAGACGCTCATTCAATCAGTCCGTGAGTACAATCCGCGACACATCGTGAATTACTTTCCGCGATATATTCGGCAATTCCTCCGCAATGGTAACACGTATCGATATTTGTACATACATATTTATATAATATAGTGTCTATTTTAATTAAATTAAATTGTGAGTGATTTTTATTACTTAAATCCCACAATTGTAAAGATTATTATAAATTTTCTTTTGCTTAGTATCGAGCCATGTCCACCGATAAGAAATTGCGTCGCGCGTCTTAACTGTTGATTGATAGGTGATGGCCATTAGGGAATAATGGGTTTTTATTTCACATTGTTATAATATAATTTATTAATAAACGCGGGATTTATTTTTTCAAACTCATAGAATAAAACGCCATTTGTTCAGCATAACCTGAAATGTAAATTAATTCGTTAATCCTAAATGTATCATAACGTATTATAATTCATTACTTAGAATTTTTTTTTGTTATATTAATATGATGATATAACAAGAAAAATGAACAGAAAAATCCTATAGGTGAGCATATTTTGTGCACAGATTATCAGCTGGTTACTGAGTAGAGGTTGAGTAAAAATATAGGCCAGATATTAGAAAATCTCTTATATAAATGTTGAAAAAATATATTAAATCAGCGCGTAGTTTCGGCTTAGAAGACTTGATAATATTTTGCAAAAGTTTAACTACAATATATTATATCAACATTACATATAGGTACATTTCAATAAAAATAATCGTTCGAAACGTTTAAAAAACACGTGAAATTGTACTTCTCGTAAAGATTTAATGATGACATATTTGATGCCGGTAAAAGTATTTTGTACCGAGTTTGGCGGTGATTTTCCAACTTTGTAGGTATTGACTATTGATTTAAAAGAGGATTTCATGGAACGTTTGTTCACGTACATTCGTCAGCACAATTGAAGGGGAGGAGGTATGTTTTAGGCTTAGCAGTCCTCAAGGGTTTGAAAATAAGTTAATTTATATGTAAATTTTGTTCAACCCAACCTAAGTCCCTCCCTACACGGAGATTTAGTTTTCTGGTTCCGCTTATACATTTATCAGTAATTTTTACGATTATAATTAAACACAAAACGTATAGTTATATCATACTTGTTTACATGCTTGTTTATAATTTTATTATAAATTAAATAGTCAAACAGGTATCAAATGAACGGGATTAATATTTGTCGTTTGTTTAATAAGTATCACAGTTCAAATCATACCACGTATATGATTTATCAAACAAGGCGGAGTAAGATCGAAATCTATTTACGAACGGCTACTGCAGATCTGACTCAAGATTTAAAAAGTTAATTTTTTCTTCTGATTGAAATGTCATAAATCAGTCGAAAAGAATCGAACAAAATATAAATAGCTTTTATGATAATTCATGTGTAATTTGTATTTGAATGTATAATAGCTCCTGATAATATTATTTATTCGACGAAATTCAAGTATTTATGTTATATTGTGCACTGAGCATGTGTGTGTCCCATCAAATCAGGAATTTTACTAAATTAATTAATAGTCGAAGAATTTAATTTGCGTAGAATTGTATTCTATTTACAAAATAGTTTATTTAAATACTATACTTATGAGATAATAATAATAAAAACCAGGGCTTTACACCCGAATTAACCCGAACCCGTAACACCCCTAAAAACCCTTAAAAATTCAAACACCCAAAACCCATATAACCCGAATGATTTTTTTTTTTTTTTTAAACATCCGAATTAACCAAAACCCGAATAAAATATTGGTTTTAACTCGAAACCCGGAGTGTGGGGGAGTTGCGGCCCGGCGTGTCGTTTCCGGTGCTGGAGATTGGTGAATTCCGGTGTAATAGGCGATTATTACTCCCCCCAAAAATTTTACCGGGGGGGAGGTAATAATCGCCTGAGGTAATAATTGCCTACAGTAACAGGCGATTATTACCCCCTCACAATTTTTTACCGGGGGGTATTAATCGCCTGAAGTAATAATCGCCTGTGGTATTAATCGTCTGAGGTAATAATCGCTTACAGCAACAGGCTATTATTACCTCCCCCCACAATTTTTTACTGGGGGGTATTAATCGCCTGTGGTATTAATCGTCTGAGGTAATAATCGCCTACAGCAACAGGCGATTATTACTTCAAGTGATTAATAACCCCCAGTAAAAAAATGTGGGGGGAGGGGGGTAATAATTGCCTGTTGCTGTAGGCGATTATTACCTCAGGCGATTAATACCCCCCGGTAAAAAAATTGTGAGGGGGGTAATAATCGCCTGTTACTGTAGGTGATTATTACCTCAGGCGATTATTACCCCCCTCCCCGATAATAATATAGGGGGTAATAATCACCTGTGACACTGGTCTGATAATATTTTAGCCTTAGGTTAGTTGCGGCCCGAATAATTATCATTAAGTGTACTCTTCTCAAAAGGTTGCTTTAAACGTTGACGAACTTGGTATTTCTTCGTTTGACTTACCGTCCAATGTTGCTTTTAGTGTTAATGATGTGTTTGATAAGTTATCTAGTCTGCGTGGCATTAGGTCTATTGGGCCAAATGGTCTTTCTGGTGATTTTTTATTTCATCTACGCTCTGTTATCAGTTATCCGCTCTGTTTATTTTTCAGGCGTTCTCTTGATGAAGGAATTTATCCAGTTATTCTAAAATTTAGCTCTGTTACACCTATTTTCAAGTCAGGGGATTTATCTTCTATCCTAAACTATAGGCCTATCTCCATTCAGTCTCAAATCTCTAAAATTTTGGAATCTCTAGTATTAAATGATATTCGTCGGTCGATCAACCCTATTATTATTGAAGAACAACATGGGTTTCGCCCGGGTCGGTCGACTGTTACCTGTAATTTAGTTTTTAGTAATTTCATTTATAACTCTTTTCAACAACGTTCGCAAGTGGATGTCATTTACATGGACTTCCATAAAGCTTTTGATTCCGTTAATCATGATGTTCTAATTCAGATCCTTATAGCTTCTGGTTTTGGCGAGCCCCTATTGTCGTGGTTTAAATCCTTTTTAGTTGATAGATATCAATGGGTCTCGCTTTTCAATTTTAAATCAACTTTATACTTAGCTTCTTCTGGGAGTACCTCAAGGGGGGCATTTGTCACCAATACTTTTCAATATCTTTATTAACATGATAGGTAGCGCTCTTCATCACTGTCGTTTTTTGTGTTTTGCTGATGATATCAAACTCTTTATGCAAATTGATTTGAATGATGACTGCTTAAAACTGCAAAATGATATTAATCGATTCGTGGAGTTATTCGACAAACTGAATCTTTCTCTAAACATATCCAAATGCAAAGTCATGGCTTTCACCAGATCTCGTACTTCTCTAGTTTTCCCTTACCACCTGCGTGACACTGTAATTTCACGTTGTAAAGATTTTATTATGGATCTTGGCTTTAAATTTACTAGCAATCTTGACCCGAGCCTTCACATTGAAATGATTTGCTGTTCTGCTTTAAGAACATTGGGCTTTGTTATGAGGTTGGCTAAAGACTTTGACCTTAAATAATCTCTTAAGGTTGTCTATTGTACTATTGTACGGCCAATACTTGAGTATGGTGCCGTAATTTGGACCCACATATAGCTTTAAATGCTTGTCAGTTAGAAAGGGTTCAGCGTAGGTTTTTCCGGTTTGCTAGCTATTTAATGGGCATTGATTATCCACCTCATGACTACACGCCTGTTGCCACTAATCTTGGTTTAGTAACTTTAGCCGAGCGCCGATGTTACTTTGGTAATAAATTTTTAAAAGATCTACTGACTGGTGTTATTGATTCTCCTTCTTTACTTGCCCTAGTTGCGTTTAAAGTTCCACTGTGTTCCACCCGTTCTAATTCTATGTTTCATATACCCTTCAGTTCCACCAATTACATGCAAAATGAACTTTTAAGACGTTTGATGTCGCAATCCAATACGGACCCCACCTTTAACTTTCTTGTTTTTTAATTTTACACACACTTATAATGTACTTCTATTGTTTTTATTTACTATCATCATATAATAATTGTTATATCTTTTCTGCACATATATATTTTAATTATAAAGGGCTCAGCCCGTAAATTCTTAATAAATAAATACATAAATAAATATTATATTCTAGAAAATCGTACGTTATTTAGGGTTTGGACCGCACCTACTCAATACCGGAAACTCGAATAATTTTTTATTTTACAATCTTTATGTGACATATCATTTTGTATGTATTTTTTGTGGTTATTTCAATTTTGTCATTAGTTGTTTATTCCCCTCAAGCCCCGCTACCCGATTTTCGCCTAAGCCACAAACATAAATGCAGAATACAAAATAGTTTGTTTTTTTGTCGCATACGATATGCCCGCATTAACTAGGAGTAGGAAATAGTGTTAGTATTTTAATTTTAATAGATATTATAATTTATAAGCTTCATACACATGTAAAATAACCCTCTCTTCCCCGAAAATAAATCGTAGTTACAACATTGCTTGAAACTTGCGTAATGATAGTTTGGTCTAAAAGACTATTGCACAGTTGTATAAGAAATTGATATTTTATAACATAGGCAGGTAACAAAAAATAGAAATATTTTATTAGTGGGGGGGTCAGTCCCACCGTCCTCTACCAATGAAAAAAAATATTTTTCCTTGACTACTTAACACCCGTATTAACCAATATTAACCGGAATAATAACGGTTATTAACATCCAAACGTTTGTTTAAATGTTGTATTGTGGTGTTTGAACACTCGAATATATTCAACACCCGAAACCCGAAAAAATTATTACGGTGCAAAGCCTTAATAAAAACTT